GTGCTTTTTCCAAAGGCAACTGGACTTTTATTTTTATTTTTCCTTTGGAGGCATTTCGCCTCTCCTCCAAGAAGCTTCTTCCGTTCTGATCGGACTGTCTGAAGACTCAACTCTCTTCAGTCAGAACGGAAGAAACTTCAAAGATGAGAATCAAAATGTCTTTAAAAAAACAACAACGAAGTCCAGTTTTCTTTTGAAAAAAAAACACCACCACCATGACCTGGATGACTGAGAATCTCCCTAGAGAACGAAGGGTGGGCAATTTTGAGATTTCCCTCCCCACCTCTATAAAATCTTTTCTTTACAATCCTTCCCCTTTCTCGGCCTTCGGAGGTGACATTTTGTGGGGTGGGTCGCCCTTTTAAGCTTTTCAGCCTTTTGGGGGGGGGAGTGGGTGGGCTGGTGGGGGGGGCGATCACAAAATGACTGCCATGGTCACTGTGCCGTCAGTCATCCAGAGGCTGATTATTATTATTTAATTATTATTATTCTTATTTAAATTTATATACCGCCCTATCTCCCTTACGGGACTCAGGGCGGTGAACAGGCAATAATAAAAATCACAATAAATATTACATAAAAGCCTGCTCTAAAATATAAAACCTTCCTACTAGTCCCCACAATGCAGCTAGCCTGGCAGGGGATGCTGGGAGTGGTAGTCCAGGGAGATTGGCAAAGCCCCAGATAGCCCACCCCTGATTTAGATGTTGGCTGCTGTTCTGATTTTCCTTTTGGAAATCTAATTGTCTTCTTTTTTTTTTTTCCCTTCCTCTAGGTTCCACACATGTCCTGACCCCACAGAAATTGCTGGACACGTTGAAGAAACTGACCAAAACGGACGAAGAAGGCAGCAGTTAAACACGCATCGTCCTCGTTCTTTCCTCCACTTTCTCGTTCGTCTGCTCCCCGAACCTCCACCGAATCGTTGCAAAATCTGGCATCATGGATGACTTCCTTTTTCTCCACTCTGCCTCGTCTTGAGTTTTAACGCAAGACCTTCTTGACATTTCCCGTTATTCCTTCCTCATATGAAGCCAAGCTAAATAGGAAACAATATATATATATATATATATGTGTGCATATATATATGCATCGTGTTTAAAGGACGGGTGGGGGAAGAAAAGAGTAATATATTCTATAATATAGATATTATCTCTGTATGTATCCAAGAGAATAAAATGTCAGATTCAAATGCCCATATTGGAAGATCCCATCGCGTCATCATTGCAGATATACAATGGTGATTATATTTTCAATACTGTGTTGTTGTTTTCCCTCCTCCCTCCCTTATTTCATTGTCCCCTGCTTGGATGGGAGAATGCTTGTGGCTTGTTGATGGCTCTGTGATCCTGTACTTAACCCCGGATGCAAACTGTGAATATTGTCTCCTAGGCGTCGCAATTTGCTTGCATTTTGGAAATCCTGTAGTAACTTCTTTCCCTCCTTTCTCCCCATCCCCCACCCCACCTTCCCACTTTGCTGTTGTTGGGATTGTTGTCTTGATTATGTATTTCTTCTCCTTTTTGTTGGGTTTTTAGTTCCTCAATATGCAGCCAGGCTGGCTTTTGAGAGATATGTGTTTTATCTATATATTTTCTGGATGTTAATTTGTTTGTTCTCTTTCCTTCTCTTCCCTTTTGGGAGTGTTTCATATTGACTCATGTTTTTTTTCCATAGCTTAACTTGCTTTTTCAAAGCCTGTCCAGCAAACAGAGACTGTTTCCCCTTGATCTCAGCACTTTGAGGTCTCCTGATGGCTTTAAATTTTGCTGAGGCATGCTAGCATGAAAATATCCTTGGAACCTCGTGGTAGTATTTTGATGCAAAGAATTTTAAAAAAAAAATAGAGGATATAATTTGCTTCTGGAAACCCTTTCTCCTTGATCTGTGTTGAGAGAGAGAGAGAGAGAGAGAGAGAGAGAGAGACAGACAGACAGACAGACAGACAGACAGACAGACAGAGACAGAGAGAGAGAAAGACAGAGACAGAGAAACAGAGAGAGAGAGAGACAGAGACAGAGACAGACAAACAGAGAGAGAGAGAGATAAACACACACACACACACACAGAGAGAGAGAGAGAGAGAGAGAGAGAGAGAGAGAGAGAGGAGACCAATGATATTTTCATCCTCTTTGCCTTTTAGTTCATCCTAACAATTCCTGCAAGGAGAGAGACGGTGAGAAAGAGAGAATCTGTGCCCTAAATTGTGCAATTAACCCACTTAGTTTTAAGAAGAGGACATTGTAAGTCCTCAATATGGCTCAAATCTGTTGTATGTCTTTTTGGGGAGCTGTTGCGAAGATGTTTTTTTTTTCAAAAAGCAACCGGACTTTGTTTTTTTCCTTGAAGATGTTTCATTTCTCATCCAAGAAGCTTCTTCGGTTCTGACTGGCTTTTGGGGGTTTTGGCCTGGCGGTGTGCCAAGGATGAGAAGCGAAACATCTTCAAGGCAAAACCAACATCCACTTGACTTTTGGAAGGAAAAAAAAAACACCCTTTGGAACAAACCACGTCCTGGATGACTGAGACGCTCCATAGACGTCTTTGGGGCTTCCCAAAACTTGGTTCCTTCCAGCTGTTTTTGTTCCCCTTCTTCCTTGTGTGACTTTAAAGAAGGACCCTCCCTCCAGCCACCAAGCTTTTAACAAGGTTTTGGTTTCGTGGTAGGTCAATTGACCCAAGAAAAAGTTCTGAGTCATCAGCCTGGATCTTGTTCTGCTTTTTAGAAGGTATGGGTGGGCTCAGCTGTGATAGTCCCCATATTTGGGCAAAGCTAGCATGATGTCCTGCTTCCTGAGGTCTTAATGCAGTTTTTGGAGAAAACAAAGAGAGATTCTGTTGAGGAAACTTAACTGCAGCTTGAAAGGCAAAGTTATTGCTCCTGCCATGTTCACCTCTGCTTAACAGTTTGGGTAGGGTTTTTTTTTTAAAAATCTAATGGGTTCTGTCTACTTACTGTATCTATCACTATCTCTATTACCTGTCTGTCTCTATCTATCCATCTCTATATCCATTTTTACGATTCTATAATCCCTTTTCAGGGTAGAGTTGGGGTGACTGGATGCATCTGAGTATTTACTGGAGATCTATCTATCTATCTATCTATCTATCATCATCTATCTCTATCCATCCATCCATCCATCCCTATCCATCTCTATATCTGTCAATCTACCTAGCTGTCTTCCAACCTTTTCTCCATTTTATCCTATATCATCTACCAACTATCATCCATCAACTCTTTCTCTCTCCATCCATTCTATCCTATCTATCATCTGTCTATCTGATCTATCAGCCTGTCTGTCTATCATCTCCTATCTATCTATCTATCTATCTATCTATCTATCTATCTATCTATCTATCTATCTATCTATCTATCTATCTATCTATCTATCTATCTATCTATCTAGCTATCATCTAGCTATTTATCTTATTCTGTCTCTTGTTTATCTTATCTCTTGTCTATATGCATTTATATTTCTTTATTTCTATATCTATCTATCTATCTATCTATCTATCTATCTATCTATCTATCTATCTATCTATCTATCTACCTACCTACCTCTATCTATCTATCTATCTGTCTGTGTCTATCTATCTATCTATCTACCTACCTACCTCTATCTATCTATCTATCTGTCTGTGTCTATCTATCTATCTATCTATCTATCTATCTATCTATCTGTCTGTCTGTCTGTCTGTCTGTCTGTCTGTCTGTCTGTCTGTCTGTCTGTCTGTCTGTCTATCTATCATCTCTCTCTCTCCTATCATTTCACCTTCTCTTGTTATAGGCCATGTGTACGTATGAATTAAATGTGTCTTGTGTTATTAGTGTAAACTTGGGATAAAGTAGTTTACAGGGTTTGTTTTTTGTGCCTCCATTGACCTTCTATTTATGACTCCATTGGCTCACTCTGACTTTGGCAAGAGGGGGTTAAGATTAAAAATCTTCCTCCCCTTTTGTCCTTTCAAGTTGCTCCCTCCCTCTCAACCCCCCCCCATCTTTTCCTAGAAAATACCAGCAGAGGGAAGAAGGGGAAAAACATCCCTCCTTATTATTCATGGTGTCTAAAACTCCCCTGGGCTTAATATTCCAACTTCTTAGGGCAAACATCAACTTTATGAAATCTCCATTTCCCCCTCCACACACACACACTCAGCCTCTCTTTTCTCAATCTCTCCTTGCATAAATTCCTTTTTATTTAGCATTGTAACTCTTGGGGATCCCTTTGTTTCTTTTAGTGATATTTTTTAATGGTTATTTATATTCCAATGCTTTTATGATTGAAAGGGATGGGAAGGGGGGGAGGAATGGGGAAAACGCAAAAGGCTAACGGGAGGCTGTCTTAAGAGGCTGTTTGATTTCTTGAAATGTCAATGTTGAAGCACAAAATGTGTGATTTCTGTATCGCTGTTCTGTATTTTAAAAGCACCTGAGAGTTAATAAAATTTGCTGTCCTGCCCAATGACGTCTTGAGTGTTTTATTGTAAGGATGGGAATTTGATGAACAGACTATGCAAAAATGGACAGTAAAGCTGCATTCTAATGATATCGACCCCCAAATTGTGTGATGTTGTCTGTTTGTGAGCCAGGGTGATGTCATGGGAATGCAGCACCAGAGTGCCAAGGGCGATATAATGCTATATTCCAATGACATCACCCTAAAGGGGATGACATCATGCCCCCGAAATAAAAAGATGATGGCGTCCCCTTTAGAGATGATGTCATTGGAATGTAGCATTACATCATTTTGGCACTGTGCCAAGGCTTTGCCCCAGAAATAAAGCACGGATGACGTTACCTAGTTGGGTCATGAAACGTCTGCAAGAAAACCACCAAGCTCAGAGAGCACCAAGGACCCCTCAATGCATACCTTCCCTAGAACATATTTGAACAAGGCAGGCATCTCGGTTTTTCTATCCTCCCCTGTCTAGCCCAACATTGCCTCTTGTGTCAAAGCTGCCTATTATTTATTATTATTATTATCATTATTATTATTATTATTATTAACATGATTAAGATCAATGTCCCTGAGAGGAAGCTACAAAGTCAAGATCAAAAAGAGACTTTCAAAAAAACAACAAAAAAAAAAGCAGAAGTCACCCCAATGGTTCAAGTCAGGGAGCGAAATACAGGAAGCACGGTTGCAAAAGGCTACTTCCTCCAAACAATGGAGGATACATTATTCTCCCTTCTCAACTAAGACTTGTTCTTTGGCACATGAAACCCAACCCAAGTGTCCAGAGTCCAACAGGCAAGCCACTGGGTCCATTTTATTGGTCCCCCGTTCCATTCAATCGAGGAAGTGGGTTTTCCCCTCTCTCGGTCCATCCTCATCAGAAGAAACGAGATGTCCTGGGACTCCTGGCTTTTTTTAGGGCCCAACGGAGAGATTGATTCATCTGTTCGGTGGTGAACTTCATGTCTTTAGCAGCTTCCACGGCCCGGCTTAAAGTCCAGTTCAAGTCTTCCAAACTGGCGGAAGGGAAGCAAGAGGGATGATCCCGGAGACGCTGCCGTGACGTTTTCCACTCGGTGGCTTGCCGTCTGCTGGAATCGTAAGCCGGAAGAGCTGCTGAGGAGCAGATTGAGGTAGTGAGCGGTGGCGGAGAATAGCTGTCCAGAAGGAAAGAGAAATGGAGAAGTCAAACAACTCTCACAGCAAATGTTTGCACCTAGATAAACCTTGGCTGATCCTCAGAAAAGCTAAGCAGAGGTGGACCTGGTTGGGTGAGAAACTAGCATGGAACCAAGGGTTTCCAACTCAACAGAGAAGTCAAGCAAGCAAGCTAAGGTTGAGTGGTTGTCAAGATCAACGTCAAGCAGACCTTAGCTTTAAAGGAGAATATTTGTGGCTCAGGATTGAAATGAGGAGTCCTTGGTGCTCTCTGAGCTTGGTGGTTTTCTTGCAGATGTTTCATTACCCTAACTAGCTAACATCACCAATGCTGATCATTGTCACCATCACTAGCCCTGATGATGTTACCTAGTTTGGGTAATGAAATGTCTTCAAGAAAACAACCAAGCACAGAGAGCACCAAGGACACCATAGTCCTCCTCCTCCTCCTCCTCCTCCTCCTCCTCCTCCACCTCCTCCTCCTCTCCCAAACCTCACTCCCTTCTAGCACTGATGATATTACCTAGTTGGGTAGTGAAACATCTGCAAGAAAACCACCAAGCTCAGAGAGCACCAAGGACCCTACAGTCCTCCTCCTTCTCCTCCCCCTTTCCTCCTCCTCCTCCCCACACACCCCACTCCCTTCTAGTACTGATGATGTCACCCAGTTGGGTAATGAAATGTCTGTAAGGAAACAACCAATCTCAGAGAGCACCAAGGACCCCTCAGACCTTACCTTACAAAAACTTTGGGTGCCGCCCTAACCTTGGCTGATCTCTTAGGAGAAATGACATGTAGACTTCTCTTTGTGAGATTGTCCAGACCAGCCAGGGAGAGGACAGCGGTGGCTTTGCAGATGTTATTTTTAAAAAACTTTATTCACCAAATAAAAATTACAAATCCGAGCAAGCAAAACGAGAAAATTAAAATGGGACAGGGATGATAACGCACACGGGTGCCCCTTTAGGGACCTCTTAAATAGGGAGTGAGGTCCACAGAAGTCAAATTAAAATAAAATTAGAATGAAAACCTTGTGAAAGTTAATGGCCGAGGCTACTAAATCAGGTAAACTGTTCCAAACGTTGACAACTCGGTTAACAAAAAAACGACTTGTTAACAATCGAGTTTGGAACGGTTTACATGAAGTTTAAAGTGGTTGTTGGCACGCGTCACTAGTCGCTAGTCTCTGATTGTTAAGTGTGCCTGTACTAGAGATTCAGCACTTCCCCACTGCTAGGTAAGAAAACTGAGACATCATCTATTAAATCTTGTTGGGAAAAACATTACTTACATTATGGACGAGAGCGGGCACTGTGCCAAGGGAATAGCTGGGATGTAATTCATAGAGGTAGCTGTAGATGGTACCGCCAAATACCAAAGACCTGCCTGTTTTGGTTGCTGGTGGTGGCTAAACTTTGGTTGAGTCCCAGAGGTTCCTTCTGGAGCAATCTCCTTGTGGTCTCCTGCCCCTAAGAAGGACGAGAAAATAAAATAAAATAAAATATACTGGTCACCATATCACAAAAAAAAAGATGTTGAAGTTTGGAAAAAAATTCAGAGAAGAGCAACTAAGATGATCCAAGGCCTGGAGACTAAAACATACGAAGAATGGCTGCAATATCAAGGGCAGCATTTTAAGGAAGAGATTAACTGTATGGATGAACATCTGGGTTTTAGATTAATGAACTGGATTGAGAGGAATTTTCACACCCTTCAAGGCTGGCCCCATCTTGAACCCTCAAACGTTTCTCTCACCGGCTATGTCTTTGTTCCTGGAGTTTGCCAAATCCTTACACGAAGGACACATCCATCCTTCAGTCAGTCTTTGCTTGGAAGGTCTGGATCCATCCCTAGGGGAACCTTAAAAAAAGGGAGGGGGAGACGATAATTCCTGTTACAATGAAATAGGCTACAATGCTAAACGAGCCGACATGGAAATAGAAGCCTTTACGAACAAGCATTAGTTTATGACACTTTTGCTAGAAATGTAATAAGCAAAGGGGTTCTTGTATCTTCTGGAAGGCATCTCCTTTTGGGAAATGCAGATCTCCTAAAGTTTTGCAAGCTTTGTTTATTTGCAGGTGCTCCGGCAGGGACTCTGCTGAGACTTGGAGGTTGATGGAAGAAAGAAAGAAAGAAAGAGAGAGAGAGAGAGAGAGAGAGAGAGAGAGAGAGAGAGAGAGAGAGAGAGAGAGGAAGGAAATAAAGCAAAGAAAGAAAAAAGAAAGAAAGAAAGAAAGAAGGAGGAGGAGGAGGGAGAAAGAAAGAAAGAAAGAAAGGGAGGGAGGGAGGGAGGGAGGAAGGAAGAAAATAAATAAAGAAAAAGCAAGGAAATAAAGAAAGAGAGGGGGAAGGAAGGAAGGAAAAAGAGAGAGACAGACAGAGAAAGAAAGAGGAGGGAGGGAGGGAGGAAAGAAAAAGCAAGGAAAGAAAGAGAGAGAGAAGGAAGGAAGAAAAAAGAAAGAAAGAAAGAAAAAAAGAAAGAAAGAAAGAAAGGAAGGGGAGGGAGGAAGAAAATAAATAAAGAAAGAAAGAAAAAGCAAGGAAAGAAAGAAAGAGAGAGGGGGAAGGAAGGAAGGAAAAAAGAAAGAGAGAGACAGAGAAAGAAAGAGGGAGGAAGGAAAGAAAAAACAAGGAAAGAAAGAGAGAGAGAGAGAGAGAAGGAAGGAAAAAAAGAAAGAAAGAAAGAAAGAAAGAAGGAAAGAAAGAAAAAAGAAAGAAGGAAAGAAAGAAAGAAAGAAAGAATTCAAGATGAGGTCCTGATTTTTAAACAGCAACGAATCAAAAGCCGGTTAATGTTTAACCAAGGCTTCCAATCATTTTTTCTATCCTTGCCTGTGTTCAACTCTGGTTATGACAAAGGTGATGGAGGGCAGGGCACGGAGCTGGCTGAAACCTGATTCCTCACCTCCAAACATATTTTCACATTTCTCTGGAATTGTCCGGTGGGGCAAAGGCCCCCTGAACTCTGCTCACCCATTGTTCCTCAACAGGGCGATCTCCCATTTTAAAAGATCAGCTCGAGTTTTTTTTTGAAGCAGATCCTTTCCGCTCCTCTGAAAATGTCTTAACAAAACCAAAGCCGAACACTTCCCGTGCGTTTAGGAATTCTCAAATGGTCTGGATCATCATATTTGAAGGGTTTCTTTTTTTAATGCATCCGACGACGGAAGCTGCCGTTTGCAAAAATCTGATGCCTGATGCCACTAAGCAAACAATCGTAAGTCGAGGACTACCTGTATCATGGGGTGGGGGGGGAGGGAAATCCTCATCAATGGCTACCTTTGGTTTCCTTGCCTGGCAAGGGAGCTGCAGAGTCTTCTCCGTGCTGTAACTGGGCATTCTGGGGATCAACAGAAGAGGTTTCGAGTCTCTTTGGCTCTTGAGACTCCAGACTGGAAATGGGATACTGTGTCCCTAGGAAAGCAAACACAAAGAATCCAGCAGGTGCTGATAAAAATTATGGAATACAGAAAGACAGAGTTGGAAGGGACCTTGGAGGTCTTCTAGTCCAACCCCCTGCTCAGGCACGAACCTCTATACTATTCTGGACAAATGGCTGTCCAATCTCTTCTTAAACACCTCCAGTGATGGAGCATCCACAACTTCTGGAGGCAATCCGTTCTACTGGTTCAATCAATCAATCAATCAATCAATCAATCAATCAATCAATCAGAATAGACCTGAAAGGGACTCTGGAGGTAATAATAATAATAATAATAATAATAATAATAATAATAATAATAATAATAATAATAATAATAATAATAAAGTTGGAAGGGACCTTGGAGGTCATCTAGTCCAACCCCCCTGCTCAGGCAGGAAACCCTATACCATTTCGGACAAATGGCTGTCCAGTTTCTTCTTAAAAACTTCCAGTGTTGGAGCATTCACCGCTTCTGGAGGCAGGTAGTTCCACTGGTTAATTGTTCTAACTGTCAGGAAGTTTCTCCTTAGTTCTAGGTTGCTTCTCTCCTTGATGAGTTTCTATCCATTGCTTCTTGTCCTGCCCTCACGTGCTTTGGAGAATAAATTGACCCCCTCTTCTCTGCGACAGCCCCTCAACTATTAGAAGACTGCTATCATGTTGCCCCTAGTGCTTCTTTTCTTAGACTAGTCCAGGGGTAGGCCACCTTGGCTCTTTTATGACTCATGGACTTCAACTCCCAGAATTCCTGAGCCAACATGGCTTAGCTTGGAAACCTCTCCATTTCCCCTCAGCGTGGCTGGCTCAGGAATTCTGGGAGTTGAAGTCCACGAGTCATAAAAGAACCAAGGTTGCCTACCCCTGGACTAGACTAATGTGGAACATTGAATCATAGGGGTGGAAAGTTCCAAAATTTGCATCCTTCCAGCCCATAAATGCAAACTTTTAAGGGAATAACAGAAGGGATTTTGCTCACTATTGATTTTACTCCTCCTGCTTGCAAACCTAACTCCCTTCTAGCACTGATGATGTTACCTAGTTTGGGTAATGAAACTCCCAGTGGTGTAGGTTGGTTTAAATGGTGTTCTTACCTGTGTAAGGTCCCCGGACAGTGCGTTGTTTGGAAGGTCTTATCCTGGAAGCTGGCCGGGGTCTTCCATTCTGCAACTTTGACGTTGCGTCGTCTGACTCGGAAGGATCTAGGAACAAAGCAGGAAAAGACAGTCCTCAGATTAATTTGGTATGTAAAGTCTGACATTATCTCAGGGGTTCAAACAACACTGGGGAGCATTAGCTGAATTGCAGAAGAGCATGCAATTGCCAGTTTTGACAAGGGGCTCAATCTAATCAAAATATTTAATATGACTAGCACTGATGATGTTACCTAGTTTGGGTAATGAAATGTCTGCAAGAAAGCAACTGGGGTCAGAGAGCACCAAGGACCCCACAGTCCTCTTCCTCCTCCTCCTCCTCCTCCTCTCCCCTCCCCTCCCCTCCACTCATTCCCTCTAGCACTGATGTTGTTATCTAGTTTGGGTCATGAAACATCTGCAAGAAAACTACCAAGCTCAGAGAGCACCAAGGACCCCATAGTCGTCGTCATCCTCCTCCTCCTCCTCCTCCTCCTCCTCCTCCTCCCTGCAAACCCAACTCCCTTCTAGCACTGATGACATTACCTAGTTTGGTAATGAAACTCCTGAAAGAAAACCAGCAAGCTCAGGGAGCACCAAGGACCCCACATTCATTCTTCTCCTCCTCCTCCTCCTCCTCCTCCTCCTCCTCCTCCTCCCTGCAAACCCAACTCCCTTCTAAACACTGATGATGTCACCTAGTTTGGTAATGAAACTCCTGAAAAAAACCTAGCAAGCTCAGAGGGCACCAAGGACCCCACATTCATTCTCCTCCTCCTCCTCCTCCTCCTCCTCCTCCTCCCTACAAACCCAGCTCCCTTCTAAACACTGATGATGTCACCTAGTTTGGGTAACGAAACACCTGCAAGGAAACAACCAAGCTCAGACAGCAAAATATTTTAAACAGACAACGCCACCTATTTAGAGATGATCGTTCTCTTTGCCTAAAGTAGGGCTCTCCACCTAACTAAATTAATCTCAGGGTCCCTCGGATGCTTCGGACAATATTTTGCCACTGGCCAGATTGACCGGCGCGCCTGCCAGTTGAAATCCAGAGACTCTCCCAGACACCCCTGTTTCTAAATTCTAGACTAAACCAACAACATTTAAAACCTTTGCCACCTACTGAAGTCCAATTCGGATCCATGTGGGGCCAACGGTGGCTTCTGGGTCCTCCCTTTTGGTTCAGTCGCCAGAAATGATCCATCGGATTCCGCCACGCTTTTCCTTGAGGTTCTGTGGAATGAGACAGCATGTTATATACCAAGGCAAGACTATAGCCGAACACAAAACAAGAAACTTGCCCCCTTCTATTCATTCTCCCTGATACTGTCACCTCTGGATTCCTAAAATCTGTCTGGATTCGTTTGACTCAATGTGATTTATTCTAGTTTTTTTGTTTGTTTGTGTGAACACAGGCAAGGTGGATCACGAACAAGCCTGTGTGGTTTAGCCTTCACCTGGAGACAAGGCTACTATGGTTTGCTCAATTAATTTGCTGAATTAAGGAGAAACTTCCTGACAGTGAGGACAATTAACCAGTGGAACAGCTTGCCACCAGAAATCGTGGGCGCTCCATCGCTGGAAGTTTTTAAGAAGAGACTGGACAATCAACTGTCTAAGATGGTATAGGTCCTCCTGCTTGAGCAGCGGGCTGGACTAGAAGACCTCCAAGGTCCCTTCCAGCAGGAGAACCTATGCCATCTCAGACAAGTCACTAGTCTTTTCTTAAAAACCTCCAGTGATGGAGCGCCCGTGATTTCTGGTGGCAAGCTGTTCCACTGGTTGATTGTCCTCACTGTCAGGAAGTTTCTCCTTAATTCCAGGTTGCTTCCCTCTTTGATCAGTTTCCAACCATTGTTTCTCATCCTTCTGGTGCTTTGTTGAACAAAGTGACCCCCTCTTCTTTGTGGCAGCCCCTCAAATACCGGAACACTGCTATCATGTCTCCCCTATTTCTTCTTTTCTCCAGACTAGCCAAACCCAAGTCCCGCAGCCGTTCTTCGTAGGTTTTAGTCTCCAGGCCTTGGATCATCTCAGTTGCTCTTCTCTGAACTTTTACCAGACTCTCAATGTCTTTTTTCGTGATACGATGACCAAAATTATGTTGGCAGTGAAGACATCACAGAGGGAAAGCAACAATAATTTTACCCTGGCTTTGCTTTGACTCTCTGTCTTTCTGAACAGTTTGGAACCCAGCCAGGACCACAGAGTTGTGGTTTGTTGTTTGGGAAGTTTCCCATAATGTCTTTCATAATGGGTGAGTCAGCTGCCTTGTGAGAAACTAGACTGCCTCTGGAGTCCTATTGCCCTCTAGAGATCAGTTGGAGGTTTGTGGGTACAAATATCTCCAAATATCCCCAAAACTTTGTTTTTCCTTGTAGGCATTTCGCTTCTCATCTAAGACTCTTCTTCTAGACAACTGTCAGAACCGAAGAAGCTTCTTGGATGAGAAGCGAAACATCTACAAGGAAAAACAAAGGAAGTCCAGTCAGAACTGAAGAAGCTTCTTGGATGAGAAGCGAAAAGTCTTCAAGGAAAAACAAAGTCCAGTCAGAACTGAAGAAGCTTCTTGGATGAGAAGTGAAAAGTCTTCAAGGAAAAACAAAGAAAGTCCAGTCAGAACTGAAGAAGCTTCTTGGATGAGAAGCGAAAAGTCTTCAAGGAAAAACAAAGAAAGTCCAGTCAGAACTGAAGAAGCTTCTTGGATGAGAAGCTTTTCTTCAAGGAAAAAA